GTATTGCAATGATTTGATGTAGCATGGAAGACCACCCAAAAAGACTGTACAATCTTTTCTTTACCCATGAAATAAGGGACTGGACTCAGCTGGCCAACCCTTGCTTGGAGTCTCATGTGGTTGTATATAGGTTGGGGCTGGGGTCACACTGAAGGCTCTCTTTCCATGCCTGGTTTGAAGAAAACTTAACAGCTGGGCCTGGAATGCCTCAGGCTCCTAGGGATTTCAGGCTTCCTACATACATACAATGATGACTGGTGATGATGAGGATAGATAGATAGATGATAGATAGATTACAGACACATCGATCGACAGAGATAGAGATGACAGGTAGGTAAAGAGGTAAATATGATTAGGTGATAAAGAGATAGAGACATATAAATGGAGAATCCTATATACTTACATATAGACTTACAGTACTACATTTACAAACAAGGATTTGCATCTTCAAACAAGATTCCATGGAGAGGACAATTCTTGAACTGAAGAAGTGAATATAGAAGTTCACACACCCTATAGTCCTATCAGTCCCATGGACAGTCACCTCCTCTGCAGAAGCCAATCTGTCACAGTAGAAGAAATAAGCCCCTGAATGAGCCAATTTTGACTCGACATTTCTGGTCTTGCCTGTCTTTGACCCTCAAAGATTTAAGTAGCTCTCATCTGAGCTCTTCATGTATCCTGGACACCGTACAGCCTGGAGATGACCAGACACACTAGGCAGAACTCTGGTACCAGAAAAGCAATTCTAAGAGAGTCCTGGAGAGATGCCACCTGAGCACAGTGATGCTTTTACTGCAGTGCATCCCAGGCCCCAAGACTGAATGCTCCTAGTTATGATGACTGTTAACCTTAAAACTAAAACCTGCCAGTTGTTCTAATAGCACAGAGGGAGTTAATCAGGAAGAAATGAGAATTGCAATCCAGAACAAACAGGCTGCAGCAACCACAACCAAGTCTGAAGAACAAAAGAGAGGTCTACTTTCTCAGGAGGAAAGGGGAAGCAGGGAAGGCTGTTATAAACTGGAGTCCATTGGAGTAACCCAGGAGTTCGAAGTATGCTGGCTTCTCATTATCAGAGCTATTGTGGGGCAGAGGGGGTGGTGGTTGTGGTGACAAGGAGAGCCCTTCTTCCTCCAGCTGAGATAGTAAGGGAGAACAAGGTCAAGTCCCTTTGAGGTCAAGTCCATCACTTCTTGTTGGGTCTGGGTGCTAGGGAATGAGGGTGCCCCTGCTGACCATCCCAGTGAGATTCACATGTTGATTATCATCTGACAAAGTCACTTCTAGACGGGGGATGTTTATATTGTTTTTTGGAAAATTCCTGGACAACACCAGCTGAGGCATTAGTATCTTCATAGTTAAACCTCTGGGAAAGATGTCTGCAATTACTTTCTCAAATGGCAGATTGAAGCTGGACTTGACAGGGATGGAGCCCAAATGTCCAAATGAACATGGTGTCTAGAGGACTGAGGCTAATACAGCTATGAGAGTAATAGCCAATATTGATTATGAGCTCGCTGCATGCTCCGTGGTCTGTGTCCCAAACACCTCACACACATCATCTGGTTTCATCATCATGTCAGATAGGCACTGGTCTTATGCCCCTATTTTACACAATCTCAGGTGCTAAGTACCAAGGCGGGAAGGTGTTAACTAATTAACTCCAGGTTCCACGTAAAAGTGTCTGTAGAGGAGGCGGGTACCAGACTCCTGTCGCTAGGCAGCATACTCATCCCCCAGCATACTCATCCCCCAGTCGCATACTCATCCCCCAGTCGCAATATTCATTCTTATGAGCTCAAGCTGCCCCACTCTCTGGAGAATCACCCTTGGCCAAACTGAACCCACTTCACCTAGGAGTTCGTGCCTCTTGGAGGCGGGAAGGCAGTCTGTGACCCACCGATGGAGTACAAAATGCTAGTGACTAACTCATAGTGATATCGACTCTGTAATACAATTCTAGCTCCAGAGCTCTCCATGATATTAGGCTCCCCCTGCCCCAGCTTTGCTCAACTTGTGCACCTGCCCTACCCAGCTCCCCTTAATCCTTTCTCCTGAAAGCATTGTCTTACATAGACCATTTGCTCTAGAACCCCCACCTCAGGCTCTACTTTTAGGGGCCTGACCTGAGACAATAGCAAAGCTCTAGCTAACTTCTGCACAGTGGCATTCAGCTAAGGGGCATACAGGTGCTGAAATGTGGCCCAAAGCTTGTGGGCCCAGCTATGCAAAGGGGGCACCTTTTCTTCATTTACCCAAGGCCACTGATTGGTCTAGACTCAGCCCTGGACTGAGCTGGGATTCAAACCCCAGGAGCTCCAGCCTCAGAGCTCCCCATCTCTCATTCATTGTGTGGTGCTGCCTTGTTGCTTAAAATAATTTAAGTTAGAATCAGGCAAAGGACGAGGAGAGCTGTGTCGGCTCAAGCTGCTTTTGTGACCCACTTCTCCCAGAAAACAATTACAACCTCCAGAAGAGTCTCTTTCAAGAACTATGCTCTTGACACATCTCAGAGAAAATGCTGACCCAATACTTCAAAATCCCCCATATTCCTATGAAGATATCTCTATCAAAGTCAGGAAGTGGACGCTGACACATTATGGCAAGGAACAATCAGAACCTTCAATTCCCTCAACTGTTCCCACAATGTCCTTTATAGCAGAAGGACCCTGCTCACACACTGAGGTTACATGTCACCCTTCTTTAGTCTCTTTTGTTCAGTCTGGAACACTTCCTTATTTTGTCTCTGGTTTTTTGTTAAAAAACAAAACAAACAAAACAAAATTCTGCAAGCAACTTGAACATCTGATTGGCTTTATTAAGCAATTCATGAACTGGCACCATCCCACCTGCCAACTCAACAGATGCTCCCAGGAGGTGTACAAATGCACGGTTTTCTAGGGAGGAGAGGGGGGCAGGAAGAGCACAGAGAGCAAAGGAAGCATTGCTTCAGGACAGGACACCTTCATTGTGGGGAATGGACTTGCAGGGTTTCTATCCTGCAATGACTCACTAGTGTACATCAGGAAATTTCAGACAGACTCTTGAAAGGTCCCCTTCCTGGGATAGGTTGAAACACAGTTGTTTGCTGTGAGGGGGGGGTTGCGGACCAGCGACTCCAATCCTGGCTTGTGTTTTCTTTTTTTATTGCTTTCAGGACCATGATGTTGTAGAAGATTACTCACCAGTTACAAATTAGGAGTAGATATTCTTTTATTTCCGTCTGTCTCACAATTTGGGGGATTTCTTTTCAGGTTTGCCACCTTGGCAAGAATATCCCAGAGGGGACGCTGGGATCCTCTCACCGCAACCTCTCCGGTGATGCTCCATCCCTTCCTCCTGTTCCTGATGGTGCTCACTGGTCTGCTGGGTCTCTGCTCTGTGAGCTGCTCTTTCTTCAGGAACTCACGGGTGTCTGAGCTGTAGTACTTTGAAACTGTGTGAGTCTCCTCATCAATTGTAATCTGTTCCTACATTTCTCTCCACCTGTGTGTACTTGAGTGTCCAGTTTTATTCAATGGGCTATAATCTCTCCCTATTGTTAGTTATCATGATGCCTAAATTGTGCCTGAGGGCTGGAAGAGACCCCACACATTAGCTCTGTGTCCTGTGGACATTTCCCCAGCACCGTGGAGCGCAAGATGCTTCTGGCTCATCATGGGCTTTCCCAGCCTGGAACCAGTCATTTCTCTGAATATCCCTAGTTCCCTTCACTGGAAACTGACATTTATGAGCCAAGATCTGAGCACTAGGTGTGCTCTTTTCTCTTACCATGTCACTGTTTCTAAGAACTGTCCATGGAGAGAGGTAGGGGATATGTGTTCTTGCACACACACAAACAGACACACACATTTCTATCTCTCTACCAATCTATCATCTATCCATAGGAAAGCACGACATTACATTAACACACTCACTTCCAGGCTCTGAATACACAGGCTTCATTTGGCTTTCTCCCTTTCCAAATCAGTGACTCCCTTCTCCAACGGTGAGAAACTCCTAAACCATTTAGCAGTAATATATTTACCTTTTTGATCAATCCCCCTTTATGTAACTAACCCTTATTCCATCCCTTACCACTCATGTATGCCCCCCACTGGCTACTTGGGTTCTCCACACTGTACTTGAGCTCCGAGGGCTCCTTCAGACCAACCCTCTGTGTGGGCACCCTTCTCATCTAGCTTGGGCTCCCACACCCATGCCAGCCTGATTTTCCATGTGTACACCCTCCCCACCCCACTCAGTCACTAACTTAGAGTCACTGTGACTCTCTTCTCTGCCCTTGACCCCCTGTGTGGAGCTGCCCACCTGGCTGTGCCCCACCGATGGCATTAGGACTAAATTATCTGGAAAGGAAAGGCAAAAGAAGAGGCCAGGAGAGGAGATAGAAGGGGCTGGAGGGGAGGAGAAGGGGGAAATAGGAAGAATTCTATGCAGCTCCTCATAGCAACTGAAATGGACAAATGCTTTTAGCCTTCCTGCCAAGTCAACCGGCCAATCAACCACATCTGATTCAACGTTCATTCTGTCAGGACAGTTGGGAGCTGAGGCTAGAACACAAAGAGAAAGCATGTCCTCTGTGTACCAGAATATCAGGGCAGATGAAATGAAAACTAATCATATAATACTAAGTGCCTCAATTGAGAGTTAGAAAAAACATGTGCTCCAAAACCTGTAGAATTCAATTGTGAATAGACTTTCTGACCAATGGGCAAAGTCACAGTGGATTTACTCTCACTTATCTTAATATATCACCTTGGAGTTCTGAATGAGCTCCTCCCACCCAGCAACTGCGATGGTCAAAACATTCAGTCACTGGCTCTCACTCATCATTCTACAGATTCCCTTTTAATGTGCACAAAACCATCAGCTCAGAGTTTTGTAAAGTGATGTTGATCAGTGTGATATTTAATGTAGCATATTCAAAATAAGACATGTGATAGAAATATCACTCCCATAGTCATGACAATAATTCTCATTTTCATTAAAGTAGGTTGATAAAATTGTTGAGAAATTTTTATTCTTGATCAGGGGAACAGATGGTACTAACTGGGGGTAGTTTGTGTGAACCGGACAGGCTGAGTCTACATCACTGGCACTTATTGGGCACCTCCTTCACTCTCCACAATACAGAATGCTCCACACAGACACCAAAAAAGCTAAGTGAATGTATTGAAGCCCTAGTCATCTGTCACAGGCAGTACCTGCAGGCCATCTTCACTTTTGGGTTCTACTCACAAAGGAAATTGAGGTCTCTGGTGATCTGGGATACAGCTTCTTGGAGAACAAAGGGGAGGTCCATAGGGGAAGTCAGGCTCCACTTACACTCCATCTCTTAACTCAGCCTTGAGAACAATGGGTTTTTCTGGTTGAATTAACCCTTGAACGTTTAATTTCATGGGGATCTGCAATAGTTAAATAAGCATATGAGAACCAACAAATGAAACCCTGCCAACAACATAAGCAAAGAAGGCAAGATACATGAAGGACAATAATGCATTACAAACATATAAATACCATTATTAGATTAATCTATCTCTGATTTTTTAAAATTACTCCATAAGCTGTCAAGACTGGAGCATGAAAGCATTCTTCCATCACTTATTCAACAGATGATCTATTATTACTTACTCTGTACCAGGCTGCAGGCACATACATCTTAGCTGGTGTTCTTTTATTTTAATTTTAAGGGAACAGAATGAGTGTTTAACATTTAAAATAGATTCTTAGCCATTGTGGCAACAATACTGAAAAGTGCCAGAGTTAATTTTCTATATGTTGACTCCTGAGTGTTTATTACACATTTTGTTGTATGGACATCCACACTGCTAAACACCCTGTCACCTCTCTCGTGGAAACAACCATTCATGATGACAGATTGGGATGGGAAGGAAGCACAGCCTGACAGGAGCCAGGCTTGCAGAAAGGTGGAGCCATGTACCCAGGATGGCCTGGTCCCTGGGAGTCCTTCACATCAGGCAGACATGCTTCACACCAGATTCTCAACCTTGCTTGCCTTTGAGAATCACGAGGGTACCTTTAAAGCCACACTCTGGGTGAATTAGATTAGAGTTTCTGAGATGACCTGGGTATCAGGATTTTTCACAATCCCACTGATTCCCATGTACAATGAGTGTTTGAGAACTTCGGTCACCAGAGTGTCTGTAAGTTGTGGTGGAGAAGAGCATCATTCAGAAGTCACATCATGACTATCACTGAAGGTCATGACTGTGCACAACTTGGTTCCTTCCTTTCCAGGGACTTAAAAGAAACTTAAAATACTGCTCAAGGTCATCAGTCCGGGTATAATGATGTCACATGAACTGTACTGACCATGTGACCCTTATGGTTGGGTGGTCATAAACCACAGATATGGCACTCAGGAACTGAAGGGCCCTTGAATGTCACAGATGGCTTCAAATAGATTCTCTGGATGACAGAACAAATTACTGGGCATAAATGAGTCCACACACAAACACATACACACACACACACACACACACACACACACACACACACAGCTCTATTCCATATCCCTTAGTTTAAAAAAATACAATAAAACATTCTTTTTACAGAAAGTGCTCTCTCTGACCTGTGTTTCTTTACAAGGTTTGAAGGAGAAGTTCTGCAGGACTCTGACAAGGGCGAGTTTCATGTTCATGATCGCAAACCTCATCCCAAGGCAGTTTCGTGGTCCAGTTCCAAAGGGCAGGTATGTATAAGGATTTATGCTGTCCTTGTTCTTCTTACTGAACCTGATTCCACAACACAAGTTGGAAACAAGTTAGGGAAGCTTAAAAACCACAAGAGCTACATATTTGGGGTTCTGAACCAGGGATACATAGGAAATTTGATGGGCTGGTTACAGAAGTCCTTCTATGTTACTCTGCTGTGGTCATTGCTACAAGTCATTGGATACCTCTTCCCCTATGGGGGCATTCAGTCTTGTTGAAGAGATGGGATGAATGCTTTTGCAAATATTTATCTTAAACACTCGAATTATATTCAAGGTGGTGAGATGTTCACCCTCTGAAAGTCAAGAAATGAGCCTGATTGAAGGAAATGTAGGATCTTGCCTATACTGACTGACGTTGGTCTTATATCCATGGAAAAAGGAAGCAGGACAAATGCCTCCCATGACATACATTGTTATTATTTCCCTTTACCTCCTTACCCTCCTGCTAGGACAACCCCAACTGATTTTCAGATGATTTACATAGGCATGTGATACGACTCCACTATAATCATGCTCACAATTATGAATAATCACTCTAATTACTGAGGTTTTTTCTACATGTCCCACAAAGCTATAAATTCCTTAAAGGTTAGAACTGCAATTTATTCACAATTCATTCCTCCATATTTATGTCAATGAAAAGTGATAATGGCATTGTGGTGAGGTACTATTTAAAACTCACTATATTATAGAGAAAATACTAGAATGTTTACTGATGATGTGCTTTAATGTAATACAGAAAACAGATAAGGAATTATAACAGTGCATGGATGGGGCAGCTGATATGGGTTGGTGTTTGTTGGGCAGGTGATGGGCACAGATAGATTCATGTAAAGTATTTCATAGGCTTGTGTCTATACAATATGCTTGTACATGTGTCAAAAATTCTCCACAATAGGGGCACCTGGGTGGGTCAGTTGGTTAACCATCTGCTTTCAGCTCAGGTCATAATCCCAGGGTCCTGGGATCAAGCCCCATGTTGGGCTCCCTGCTCAGTCTAGAGCCTGCTTCTCCCTCTCCCTCTGCCCCTTCACCCACTTGTGCTCTTTCTCCCTCTCTCTCATGCAAATAAATAAAATCTTTTTTAAAAAGATTTTATTTATTTATTGGACAGAGAGAGAGACAGAGTGAGCAAGGGAACACAAGCACGAGGAGCGGGAGAGGGAGAAGCCAGCCTCTTGCTGAGTAGGGAGCCTGACGTGATGCTTGATCCCAGGACCCGAGATCATATCCCCAGCCGAAAGCAGCCACTTAACAACTGAGCCACTCAGGTGCCCATCAAATAAATAAAATCTTTAATAAAATTATCCATAATACGCATTTTTAATACGTGGATTGCATACTGCCTGGCACAGTCCCTGACACACACAGATAAGCACTTCCTCTCGTGACTGAATCAATCACAGACGAGTACCAGGAGTGCTCTCTGGTTTCCATTAGAGAAACTACAGGAGAGGGAACTGCTGAGCTTCTGAGAGCCATCAGGTCTCCTGGTACAGAAAACAGATGACTTGGTCATAATGAGATCTTTCAGCAAGTACTATATGTGGATGCATTGCTAGCACTAGGAATGCCATGCAACAGGACAAGGGCATACCATCAGGGAGCTTAAGGACAGGGTCTAAATGTCTAGATCCCTAAAATGTTCATCCAAATTTTGCTCACCAATACAAAAAACAGGAAAACACAAACTGTAGCAGAATTCAAGCTGCACCCAAAGCCAAACTGCTCTGAATCATCAGAAGAGAAAGCTCAAGATCCCTCCAAGGAGGATGTCTCAGACAGCTAGAGAACAGATAAGCTTGCTCTGGATGAACCCTAGATACTGAACAGGGTGGGAGCTGGCACAGGACTGCAGCCACAGACAGCACAGGCCTGTGTGTCTATGTCCTCCTGAGGCTGTTCCTCCTGTCAGGACGTGAACGCTCAGCTCCACAGCCACTGCTCTCACCCTACAGCTAGCAGAAATGGTGGCCCAGGGTTGCAAATATGGAATGTGAGAATGTGAGGAGTAAATTTAGACAGCTAGAGGAAGCAGAAAAACTTAAAGGAAAAAAAGTCCCATTGTCTTTTTTTTTTAAGATTTTTTTTATTTTTTTATTTGACAGAGATCACAAGAGGTGGAGAGGCAGGCAGAGAGAGGGAGAGGAGGAAGCAGGTTCCCCGATGAGCAGAGAGCCTGATGTGGGGCTTGATCCCAGGACCCTGGGACCATGACCCAAGCCAAAGGCAAAGGCTTAACCCACTGAGCCACTCAGGCACCCCAAAAAGTCCCATTGTCTTAAAAAGGATAACAGTAATGTATATTATGGTATATGCATAATCACAAACACAAATATGGCATGTTGTTTATAGCTTACTGTTATGTCAAGTAAGTAGCTCAAAAAATATGTAATGCCATTGTATATAAGGACCATATCTTCTTTACGAAGATATGGTCCTTATATACAATGGAATATTATGGCTCCATCAGAAAAGATGAATACCCAACTCTTGTATCAACATGGATGGGACTGGAGGAGGTTATGCTGAGTGAAATAAGTCAAGGAGAGAAAGTCAGTTACATGGTTTCACTTACTTGTGGAGCATAAGGAATAACATGGAGGACATTAGGAAAAGGAAAGGAAAAGTGAATTGGGAAAATCTGAGGGGGAGATGAACCATGAGAGACTGTGGACTCTGAGAAACAAACAGAGTTTTGGAGGGGACTGGGGTGGGGGCTTAGGTGAGCTGGCAGTGGGTATCAAGGAGAGCACGTATTGCATGGAGCACTGGATGTGGTGCATAAACAATGAATCTTGGAACACTAAAAAAAAAAATTTAAATTTAAAAAAATTATTTTATTAATTTATATATATAAATATATATATATATAATATGCCATCCTTTTATTAATCTGTATGCATAGAAAAATATCCACAAGGACATATATCATATGATTAATAATGATGTATGTGACTGGTAATGACATTAATCTTCTTTTTTCCCAACTAGAGTTTGCAAAATTTTGACAATGATCATCTTGTAATAAAAAATACTTCTAAAAATGAAAAGATGTACAAATAAATAATTGCACAACCATATGCTTGTCTCTATATGAAGGAAATACCAGAATATCCTCCAATATGAGGATGGGTTCCCCATTCCAAGTTTCCTGTACCTTTCAGGACGGAACTCCTCGGGCTCTGGCCAGAGATCCTGGTCTCGGTGAAGAGTAAACACTGGCACCATCACCACTGTCCCTTTGGGAATAAACACACCACTGATTTCCACATCTTTCTTACAGACCCTCTCAAGTCTACCACCGATTGGGTATAATCTCAGAGTTTCATTCAACACCATGTCCAGATACTCCATCTGTACAAGGCCATCATAAGTAGGTGGTGCCTGGAAGGAAAGAAACAGATTTTGTTACATTGAGATTTGGAATCAACATTCAACTCACTCTATACACTACTACTAAAGTGTTAGGAACACCTAAAAATCATGAATTTTGGTAAAGGGCATTTATGGTCGTTTTAATATCTACCATGTCCTTTGATCTGCTCAGTGGCCCACTGACACGTGTACAATAGTAATGATGAGGGGAGATGGCTGGGACAATCCCCTAAACAGGGTCTGAAATCCTTCCTAGGTAGTGATTTTTCTTCCTCGTGTGAACAAAAGAGACTAAGACTGTGACACTTAATGGTTTTTTTTTTAGTTTTTTATTTAAGTTCAATTTAGTTAACATATAGTGTATTATGAGTTTCACGTGTAGAATTTAATAATTCATTACTTGCATATAACACTCAGTGCTCATTACATCAGGTGCCCCCTTAATGCCCATCACCCAATTACCCCATCCTCCCAACCTCTCCCTTCCAGAAACCCCCAGTTTGTTTCCTATGCTTAAGAGTTATAGTTTGTCTCCCTCTCTGTTTTTATCTTTTTTTATTTCTCCCTATGACCCTTAGTCGTCAGTGAAATATGCTGAAGTCACCATTTCCTTTCAAAACAGAGGTCACATGTCCACACCACAGAAGAAGAACATACAACAGAAAATATCTCCTCTTCCACATAAACTCTTCTAGTGGAAATATACTGCTTCCTATCTTTTCAATTATATTTACAGTATTGAGAGAGAAACACTATATTACATAAAAACCATAATTGGGGGAGACACTAGTTCCTTTCAACACAAATAGGGCAAGAGAGGGGTAGGACTGGATGCCACCAACTGAGGGAACACAATTTCAGTTCTAGGGAATATTGTGAAGGGGATCAGATCTCAGCCCCACCCTCTGTTGCTGGAAAGGTCTCCTCGTTGTTGGTCTGGGGCTTCACTCTTTGCCCAATAAGCCACTCCAGCCCTGAGCCCAGGTCTCTTCATAAGCTGGGAGCTCCTGTTTAGGCAGCTCTGTTTAATTCCTTGTTCCCAGCCAACAATTAGTCCCCAAGGTCCAGATAATACAGGTATAAGAAAGTGGAGCCTCTTTCCCCAGTACCACCAAACAACTATATGAAGCAGAGACTCACCCCCATGCTGGACATGCAAACGTGAGTTAGAAGTAAACCTTTTTATGAAAACCCAATCGATTTGAGAGCTAATCTGTTACTGTGATATAACCAAGCCTATTCTGACTCCCTCCTCAGTAGGACCCACTCACCTTCTTGGGGAAAGTCGCATCAATCTCCTCCTGCAGTTTCTGCTGGACATCAGGGTGAGTGGCCAGTTCATACACAAGGAAGGAAAGAGACGTGCTAGTGGTCTCGTAGCCAGCAAAAATAAAGATAATAGACTGGGCCATGAGTTCCAGATCAGACAGAGCTAAAAGGAGAAGAGAGACATTTGAGCCAAAACAAATGAATATAAAATACCACATTTTAGATGATGAGAAATCTATTTGAAACTCACATTTCCTTTGGAGGAAAATTTAAAAGCAATCCAGAATCAAACTCACAGTGGTTTGCACTCTGATGTCTATCTTACAGAGTCAGAAAAGCCAGAAGTTGTCTTGACCTGGTTATTCCCATGGCCTATTCTCATGGTCTTGACCATCCATTCCAGCTCATGCCACCTTCCCCACCAACACAGATAGGTGATTTCAGGAAATGGCATTTCATCTAATGTACATAGAGTTATCAGGATGTCCTTTGGAGAATCTTAACAGGACTTCAGTCCTAAGTCACATGGGATAGTATCTCTCCCAGGAAAATTTAAATCCTTTCCGCTAAAACAGAAAATAAATTTCTTTAGAGAGTTTGCAATGCTAAGGCTTAATTGTTAGGAAAAATGAATGATCTTTTACCTAAACATATTTGTGGGAACTTTAAAGAATACGACTGGGCTACAGATAAATCTTGCTGCCCCAAATGTGGGATCTGCAGCATCTGGGAGCTTATTAGAAATGCAGACTCTCAAACATCACCCTAGAACAATCGAATCAAAATCTGACCTTTCATGAGATGTGGTGATCTGCATGCACAACCTATCTTGAGAAGCACAGCTTATACCTTTCCAAGGTCTCAGCTAATAGAAGACCTGGCACACTACTTCTCAAGTGGACAACCTCCAGTATGTACAGAAACTACGACACAGACAAAGTGAGAAGAGTGGTGACTAAACTAGGATAATTCATGCCATTAAAGGAGCAGAAGAAAGAAGGTGTCAATAGAGGGTACTAGCTAGCGAGAAACAGACAAACTGAATCCAGTGAATGGCGTTAGCAATGCCTATTCAATCATAACCTAAATGTCACCTTCCTTAGTGAATGGCCCCACTCTGAATATAAGTTGGCATGTCCTTTGACTTTTCTCTTGGCAGAAACTCACCATGGTCATGCTCTAATTTCTTTCATCAGAACTTTGTCAGGACATTTGGATACTTAGAACACTTAAATGAACATGGTACCTGCCACCAACATGTAAGTCACAACTAAAAACAATACAAAAAGTCTAAGAAAGGTCTGTAGAGTTGTAATATGACAGTCATACTTTCTGTGATGCTGCTGTGGATAAATTCAACAATCAAAGTTTTTCCATGATTGCCATGAGCCCCATGATAATCAAAGCTTAGGGCTCTGCTGTCCAGTAAGATAGCTACTTGCCAGATGTGGCTATTTATATTTAAGTTTTACTTAGTTATATTAAATACAATATAAGATTCAGATATTCAGTGATACTAGCCACATGTCAAGTTCTTAATAACCACATGTGTGTAGTAGTTCTGTACAGAAACAAGCATATATTGAATATTTCCTTTATCATAGAATGTAGTAGAACTAGAGAGAGAGAGAGAGAATAGAATGATATAGGAACACATGGGAGGCTCAGTCTGCCCCAGGGTGAGATCATGATCCCAGAGTCCTGGGATCGAGCCCCACATCAGGTTCCCTGCTTTGTGGGAAGTCTGTTTCTCCCTCTCCCTCTCCCCCTCCACCTGCTTGTGTTCCCTCTCTCACCATCTCTTTCTCTCTCTGTCAAATAAATAAAGAAAATATATTTTTTTAAGATTTTATTTATTTGTCAGAGAGAGAGGGAGAGAGAGCGAGCACAGGCAGACAGAATGGCAGGCAGAGGCAGAGGGAGAAGCAGGCTCCCCGCCAAGCAAGGAGCCCGATGTGGGACTCGATCCCAGGACGGCGGGATCATGACCTGAGCCAAAGGCAGCTGCTTAACCAACTGAGCCACCCAGGCGTCCCATAAAGAAAATATTTTTTAAAATTTTTTAAAAGCATAGAAGTAGACATCATAATAGATACAGAAATACAGATATTAGTGGTGTGGTAAAGTAAGCTAATCATTTTTTCTCTAGAATAAGCTGTTATATATATTCAAGAATTTTGTGAGGTGGTTGTCAAACCATAACATGGCTTAAAATTAACCACAATGGGAATATTTCTGTCACAAAAATAACTATAAATCAAACCCCCTTTTTTCTTTCAGATGCAAAGACCACAATTAGATCACTGGTTATTGATATAGAAATATTTATGTTGATTAGTCCTATGTAAATATAGTTGACATTCTGGGCTCGACCTACTGAGAGGAAATAGAAGCAAAGACACCCTCATAGCAACAAGCACTCCTAGATCCCAGATTCTGGTTTCTAAATACCATTCTCACTAAAAGGAAACAGAGCTTCTTGGAGAAAATGGCTCATTCCAAGGGATCATCACGGGAAACAGTGGAATGTCTCACACCAGAATGCAAGGAAATGCTCAGGAAATAATATGGCAAAAGGATACAGAATACTCTGTGTGCCATAGTGGTGGATATACATCACTATACATAGGTCTGAACCCATAACATATACAACACCTAGGGTGAACTGTAATGTAAACTATGGATTTAGGGTAATAATAACGTGTCACTATAGGGACATTGTCTATAACAAAATTACCACATTGTGGGGGATTTTGATAGAGGGGGTTGCTGCATGTAAGTGGGGCAGGGGGTATATGGGATAAATCACTGTGTCTTTCACTCAGTTTTGCAGTGAATCTAAAACTGCTATAAAAAATAAAGTCTATTGAGACAGCTGTGTGGCTCAGTCGGTTAAGCTTCCGCCTTCAGCTCAGGTCATGATCCCAGGGTCCTGGGATCAAGTTTTGTATCAGTCTCCTTGCTCTGCATGGAGCTTGTTTCTCTTTCTGTCTGCTGCTCCCTCTCCTGTGTTTTCTCTCTCTTGCTCTCTTTAACAAATAAATAATAAAATCTTTAAATAAATAAAGTCTATTGGATACATAAAAAAGAAGTTGAAAGAAAAAAAAAAAAGGACACAGGAGCCCAAATGAAAGTGTTTACAGAGGACAAATCTGAGAAAATTAACAATCCAAATAAAAAATGATATGAGACTAAGTTAGTAATATATGAGATCATACTGACATATATAAAGAGACAAATACAGAATATTGGATGTTATATGCAACTAGTGAATTGTTGAACACGGCATAAAAACTCATGATATACTCTATGCTAACTGGGCATAATAAAAAATAAAAATAAAAAATAAATAAACAAATACAATTATGATGGTGAATGGAAAGCTGACCCTAACAATGGACTATAACTCCTAATGTAGAAACAATGGTGGAAGTAGAAAGTCATCATTTGCAACCATCATAGTAATAATGGTTTTAGTCAAATACCATCCATGGATGATAAAAGTAGTAGATGATGGCTTAAAGAGAAACACTATATGTACACAGTCACAAAGGCGTCCTGCACCAGTTACTTCTTAATTACAAAAGGAAAAGAAAAACTTGCAGGAGATTAAGCCAGTGAACACAAGTTTAACCAAGTGTTCCAAGTGAAGGTCACCAATACTACAGCCAGGTGCCTCATGATGTGATGAAACCTTGATGTGAATTTCCAGGCAGAGGTTCTGATTCAGTGGGCCTGGATTAGGCTGGAGGATTGCCATTGCAAACAAGCCCCCATGTGGCAGACCACTGAGAGCTTTGTCTATCATTGTCCTTTAAGCTTTGAACAAATTGTGGCTGTATTCTTCTGGAAAATGCTCGGGATCCCATTTGTATCTGAACATGTGTCTTCCTTCGATTTTCTGATATTCCATCGGCTAAAAATCTTCCTCTGTATCTGAGAACCATCTCCTGTCTCTGAGCTGCCCCATCAAGAGCCCTCTGAAGCTCTCCTGGCTTACCTTTATGGGTGTCCATTTCTTTGGAATTCTGGGAGTTAATCATCAGCTGAAGAAAGTCCACTCGGTGCTGGACACAGAAAGAGACATTTCAGTGACAAAAACTCACTTGTGAAGCCAGAAATACTAACTTCTTTCCTGAGTATATGATGCCTTTACACCCAGAAATTTAACTAATGTTGTCAGAGACATCAGTGAACAAAAATGTCCAGCAAGAAATCTTGGAGAGCATGATATTTCCCTGACAGGAATCCAGCCTTATGTCCCACTGCTTTTTGGTTCTTGCTTTCTCTGTTCCTCAGCTTCTCTGGCTTTTAAACACAGCTTCCTGGCCCAAGAGTTGCCTGCTCCGTCTCCTATCACACCTACTAGCTCAGGAGAAAGTATCTGATTTTAGTCCTTTTGTTTTTTCAGCCTCGATTGTTAATGAATGGCCATAAATACCAATCCCCTGGCCTCTGCAGAGTCCACAGGAAGCTTCTGTATCAGCATCTTCCAATGCTCCACCATCCCAGAACTCTGCACAAACTTCAGAGACATCCTAGGGTACTAGTCCTGTCTCCCTGTCCCGCACACATCCTAGTGCTGGCCACCAGGCCTCGGGAAGGCAAAGCCTGTTTGGCCAGCTTGCAGCCTCAGTGCCCAAAGAAGACACCTGCTCACTCCAGACTATGACAGTCTCAAATTTAACATAAGCAGGTGCCTGGGGAGAACTTCCACTGGAGAATGTGTAAGAAAAGAGACTTGGAATTGAAGGGATTCTTTGCCATTATAAGATATGGCAAAATTATACTACCAGGAAAATGATTTTACACAGTAATTTTTGTGTTTTGACCATTTATTGAAGGGAAGTGGTAGTTTTTCTCTCACCAAACTGATGCAGTGTCATACTCATTGGCATGCTTATTCTTGAATTTTAAACCTCAACTGACTCATCTTATTGCTTCTCCTGACCTCTACCTTCTTCATTCTCTCTAAAATGTTAGAAATCTCTTGCCCTAAACTCTAGAGTTCTCTATTTACCATAAAAACATACTTAGTAGTGTGCACATCAGATGCATACAGCTCAATAAAAGATCAAAGTTGAATATGTACATGTAACCACCATTGGATTTACCTTTTGTTTATCTTTGAGGCGACTTTCTTTCATTCTCTTTATAGATTTCTTGAAAAAATCAGTAACGCTTTTTGGAAATAGTGAGATATTTAACATTTCAAAAACGGGGCTAAGGAATGGAAACAGTACTATAAGAAAAAACAACAACAACAATGGAAATATCAATGAAAATGCAAAATTTCATTGGAGCATGTATAATTTCATCTACCAAATGAGGATTAAAAGACACCAGGATTCATTCATATCAGGAGTTAATCCCTCTATGAACTTTACTTGAACTTTCAAGCCAATGGCTGAGCCAGAGCAAGTCACACACATGGGCCACCACTAGAGCAGTCAGATCCAAAGGAATGGGATTACATTCCCGGATCTCTTAGACTTTTATTTTTGGACTAGAGCATATTTGGAAACACCAGACCATAATATGTTACTTTGATTTATCACACTGTTTATGAAATTGTGTCAGGATGGAAATAATACATAGGTATGACCTTCAACTACAATAGAATAAAATTAGAAAACAAAAACACAACCAACATGGAAAACCCATGAATCTGTGGAAATTACACGATACACTTTTATACAGCCAGTCAGTGAAGAAGAAATCTAAAGGGCATTTTAGAATTAGTTGGAGAACACAAAAATGAGGAAACCACATACCAAAACTCATGGGATGTAGCAAAAGCAATGTCTGGAAAGAAACTTTTCATTATATATGCCTATCTTTAAAGAAAACCACGATTTCAAATATATGACCCAACACTCTGTCAAAAACATGCCAAAGAACCCTCTTACACTGTTGGTGGGAATGTAAGTTGGTGCAGCCACATTGGAAAACCGCATGGAGTTTCCTTAAGAAATTAAAAATAGAGCTTCCCTATGACCCTGCAATTGTACTACTGTGTATTTACCCCAAAGACACAGATGTAGTGAAAAGAAGGACCATCTGTACCCCAATGTTTTTTTTATTATTATTTATTTATTTGACAGAGGGAGAGAGATCACAAGTAGGCAGAGCAGCAGGCAGAGAGAAACGGAAGCAGGCTCCCCGCTGAGCAGAAAGCCCCATGTGGGGCTCAATCCCAGGACCCTGAGATCATGACCTGAGCCAAAGGCAGAGGCTTAACCCACTGAGCCACCCAGGCACCCCATTTTTTATGTACCCCAATGTTTATAGCAGCAATGGCCACAGTCACCAAACTGTAGAAAGAACCAAGATGCCCTTCAACGGACGAATGGATAAGGAAGATGTGTTCCATATACACTATGGAGTATTATGCCTCCATCAGAAAGGATGAACACCCAACTTTTGTAGCAACATGGGCGGGACTGGAAGAGATTATGCTGAGTGAAATAAGTCAAGCAGAGAGAGTCAAGTATTATGGTTTCACTTATTTGTAGATCATAAGAAATAACACGGAGGACATGGGGAGATGGAGAGGTGAAGGGAGTTGGGGGAAATTGGAGGGGGAGACGAACCATGAGAGACTATGGACTCTGAAAAACAATCTGAGGGTTTTGAAGGGGCGGGGGGTGGGAAGTTGGGTGAGCCTGGTGGTGGGTATTATGGAGGGCACGTATTGTATGGACCACTGGGTATGGTGCATAAACAATGAATTCTGGTACACTGAAAAGAAATTTAAAAATAAAATATTTTTTAAAATGCCCAAAATACATGAGCACGCTAAACCAAAAGCAAACAGAAGGAAGCACATAATACAGACAAGAGCAGAAACTTAGGAAATAGAGAATAAAAAACAAGAGAAAATTCAAAGAAAGCAAAGCAGCTGATTCTTTCAAAAGACCTTTAGCTAGACAACCAAGGAAAAAGGAGAAGAGATTCCAATTACTGTCATCAGAAGTGAAAGAGGAGATTACTGCTGACATTACAAAACTAAAAAGGATGATAAGGAATACTATGAACAACAGAATGCCAATAAACTAGACAAAATGGTAAAATTCCTAGAAAGAGAGAAACTAGAAAGTGACATCAACACACACACACACACACACACACACACACACACACACACACAGAGGCAATCTGAAAGACAAATAAAATGACTGAGTTAGTAGTGAAGAAACTGCTGACAAAAAAGAAGCTGAGTTTCAGGTGATTTCTCAGGTGAGGTCTAGCAAATATTTACAGTGCAATCAACACCAACTTTTCACAAATTCTTCCAAAAATAGAAGAGGTAGGAACACTTCCAAACTCATTCTACTTGACCAGTATTATGCTAATACTAAAACCAGACAATGATATCACAAAACAAGAAAACTACAGACCAATGTATCTTATACATGGATCCTCAAATTCTCAACAAAATACAAGCAAACTGAAGCCAGCAACATATCAAAAGAAGGATATACCATAACCAAGAGGGGTTTATCCCAGCAATTCTAGGTTATATAATACAATAGAATGACCAAAAAAATTTTTTTTTAATTTTATTTATTTATTTGACAGAGAGAAAGATCACAAGTAGGCAGAGAGGCAGGCAGAGAGACCGGGGCGGGGCGGGGGGGGGGAAGCAGGCTCCCTGCTGAGCAGAGAGCCTGATGCGGGGCTTGATCCCAGGACCCTGAGATCACAACCTGAGCCGAAAGTAGAGGCTTAACCCACTGAGCCACCCAGGCGCCCCATGACAAAAATTTTTAAAAACCACACAGTCATCTCAATACAGCCAGAGAAAGTATATAACAAAAATCCAACACAATTTGGCAATAAGAATACTCAACACACTAGAAGAAGAAAGGAATGTCCTCAATCCGATAAAGGGCATCTATGAAAAACTCATAGCTAACACCACACTTATTGGATACAGACTGGACACTTACCCATAAGATTAAACAAAATGAGGATGTCTCTATTACCCTTCTATTCAACATTGTACCAGAAGTTTTAGCCAGGAAATATATGCAAAAGAGAGAGAGAGAGATAGAGAGAAGAAAGAAAGAAAGAAAAGGAAAGGGAGGGAGGGAGGGAGGAAGGAAGATGGATGGAGGGAGGGAAAGAGGGAGTGAGGGAGGAAGGAAGGAAGTGAGGGAGGGAGGAAGGGGAAACACAAGTTATTCATAGAGGAAATAAAGAAGTAAAAGCATCTCTATTATCAGAGAGCATAATGTTGTACATAGAAAATCTGAAGGAATGCAATAGGAGTCTATTGGAACTAATAAACCAGTTTAGCAGGGTTTCAGAATACAAGATCAACATACAAAATCAATTGTATTTCATAAACTACAATAAAAAATCCAAAAGTGAAATTAGGAATATAACTCCTTTACAATAACATCAAGAAGAGCTGAATACTTAGGAATAGCCTTTTTTAATTTTTTATTTATTTTTTATTTTTTAAAGATTTTATTTATTTATTTGACAGAGAGAGAGATCACAAGTAGGCAGAGAGTCAGGCAGAGAGAGAGGGGGAAGCAGGCTCTCTGCTCAGCAGGGATGCTGAGGCAGATGTGGGGCTTGATCTGAGGACCCTGAGATCATGACCTGAGCCAAAGGCAGCGGCTTAATCCACTGAGCCACCCAGGCGCCCCTAGCTTTTTTTTTTAAACAAGGAAATATATTAACTGATATCTCCCTAAAAATATAAACTGAGAGCAAAATGGCTTAATTGCAGAATGTGGGACAGATTTAATGAAAGAAGTGCTATACTTTGAAAACCACAAATATTGTTGAAATAAATAAAGAAGATCTATGTAAATGGAAAATATCTAATGACCATGAATTAGAATTTAATATTGTCAAGATGGCAATAACTCCTCAAGCTGATCTAGAGATTAATGCATTCCCTATCAGAATCCTAGTTGGCTTCTTTGTCAAAATTGACAAACTGAATTTAAAATTCATGGAGGACAAGGGGAGATGGAGAGGAGAAGGGAGTTGAGGGAAATTGGAAGGGGAGGTGAACCATGAGAGACTATGGACTCTGAAAAACAATCTGAGGATTTTGAAGGGGTGGGGGGTGGGAGGTTGGGGGAACCAGGTGGTGGGTATTGGAGAGGGCACGGATTGCATGGAGCACTGGGTGCGATGCAAAAACAATGAATACTGTTACGCTGAAAAGAAATAAAAAATAAAATAAAATAAAATTCATATGGAATTTTAAGAACCCAGAATGACCAAACAATCTTGAAAGAAAAAAAGAATAAAATTATAGAGCTCCAACTTCCAGTTTCAAAACTTAGACAAAGCTATAATGATCAAGACAATGTGGTCCAGCGCAGGGAGGGGCTGGCTCCCGGCAAGCAGCGGAACAACGGAGCACAAAATCAGGACTTTTTAGAAATCTGCTCCACTGAGAGACATCGCTCCAGAGGCTAAATTGGGGTGAAGCCCACGCGGGGCCAGCGTGGCCCCAGGTCCCACAGGGTCACAGAAGGATCAAGGGTGTCTGAGTGTTGCAGAGTTCGCAGGTATTAGAGAGGGGAAGCTGGCCACAGAGACGGAACCAAGGAGTGAGCTCTCCGTTTGGGGTTACCTTGAACCAGTCACAGACTGGGTGACCTCGGAGCACAGCTGGAGGCCAGGGAGACGGGAGTGATTGAGCACTTTTCTCTGAGGGCGCACTGAGGAGTGGGGCCCTGAGCCCTCGGCTCCTATGGGCCGGAGATTGGGAGGCAGCCATTTTCATTCCCATCCTCCAGAACTCTACGGAAAGTGTTCAGGGAACAAAAGCTATGGAAGCAAACCCAACGGATTACTTAGCCTTGCTCCTGGTAAGGGTGGTGCATTTCTGCCTCCGGCAAAGACATTTGAGAATCACTACAACAGGCCCCTCCCCTAGAAGATCAACAAGAAATCCCACTTACCAAGGAGAGCAGCAGAATTCCAGAGGAGGAGAAAGCAAAGCATGGAACTGATGGCTTTCTCCCCAGATTCTTTAGTCTTGCAGTTAATTTAATTTTTTTTAATTTAATTTTTTTTCTTCTGCTAATTTTTTTTTAACTTTTACCCTTTCCTTTTTAAACATTTTTAAACTAGTTTATCTTAACAATACCTTTCAAAAATAATAATAATAACCTCTTTTGAACCTTCATTATTATAGTCATATTTTATCTTCCATTGTATTTAACTTTATTTTTTGTATACATATTGGGTTTCTTCTTCTAAAAAATT